TTATGTATCTTTTTGTAAGGCTGCTGGGGTTTATTCCGTGTTCGCCCAACGTTTTCTGAGGTAGAAGCTGTGATGTTTGGTTTGGATTTTGATTGTTGTTTTAGCTGGTTTTGGGACAGACCCTGGGAAAGTAGAATTGGGCGCTTTTCTATTCCTTTCCAAAATACCTATATTCTCTAGCTATTTTCCATGATTTAATTTAGCTTTTATTTAAGCCTTTAATAGTTGTTGGCTTGTGTGTCCACAAGTTGTTCACTCAAGAATCAAGTGGATGGTTCCTTACAGATGCTATGTTTAGTAGACCATCTTTCATCAATTTTCTTCAATACCTGAGGAGGGTAACGATCGAGAAGAACATGATTTTTTGCCTCTGTTTGTGTGTTTGGTATGTTAAACTGTTGCACAATTGATTGATGGTGTCAACTGTATCCATGGTGGTGCCAAAACAACATATGGTAGAGTGACAAAAAAATGTATCTCATGGATTGTTCAAAGAGGTAGCTCCAATCTATGCTTTTCACTCTCTTATGATTCTTATTTCTTTCTATTGAATTGCATGCTCCTCTTATTGCTACGGAGTTGATCATTGGGGATTAAGATAAATGAGCTAATGATTTTTGTTGTTGCAGATGTTATGTTCATGTGCTTTCCTTCTGGATAGAGTTGACACTCCAAGCCCAATGGAGATTAACATATTCAAACAACTTTTATTTAGAGTCACTACCCAACATTCATATTTATAAGTACAGGGATTGATTCGATGGTTTGATGACACCTTCACATTTCAGAAGCACAAGGTGGTTAAAACTTAGAGTGCTTGCCTTTATTTTGTATTTTTGTTTCTCATTTAACATGTGTTGCGTACATGTGTTTTTGCCTTACAGGAGATGCTAGCAAGTCTTGAAATGGAGCTCGACTTCTGACTGATGACAGGGTGAATAGCTATGCTATATTTGTTCTTTTGGTCATGTTAATACAAAGGAAAGGACACCCTTGTGGTATCGTTTAGATAGTGGGTTGAATTCGAACAGAAATGCCATTTCTACTAATTATTTTAGTTATGATGTTTCTGGAATTGAATTGATCTTTACAAATGGGATTGATTGCCCATGTTAAGTTAGCATTGCGGTGTTTGGCAGGTAAAAAATTAGTAGTACAAATTCCTTGATGTGTTCGGAACACTGGTTTCTCCAAAGCTTCGAGCTTCCCAACAGTCATTTGAGAAAGGTAAACTAATGTACCTGACTCAAGCAGCTAACATTTTGGTGATACTTACTAATGTCTGACATGGTTGTGAAACAATTGACATGATTGTAGAGATAACGAGTTTGTCTTTTCGTTCATCTAAGATGAGTTTGCTCTCTCTTTTCTTTTCCTCCGAAGGTTTTTGAAGGAGGTACCGACAACGAGTTGGCTATCACGAATTTCAGTTTGAGGCTTTACCCACGTCGCTACCTGTTTGAGGCTTTAGAAGGCCGAGAGATGTCAAATTATGCCTCTTCATTGACAGGGTTCTCAGCCGGCACCAGAATCTCGATTCTCTGGGGCACTTTTGCACCTATTTTTCAGGCCCGCCCCGAAGCTGAAAGTTACAGCCTGATTTTGGGTTTAACACGAAGTCTCTGGTTCAGCAAATTGATGTTATGCTTTTGGGGAAACATAATGCTAGCTTTCCCAGTCTATGATTTGCACTTCATATGGGTATCAATTATCAGCATGTTGTGAGCTTTACTTGATGTTATTGTTTTTTATGAGGTTGTTAATTGTCTTTGACCTACTTTACTTTTGTTGTTCGTGCAGGTTTATGGAGTTTCCTTCATCTCTTACCTCTTAAAGCACAACTAATTGCATCCTTCTCATTGTAGAATTGGAAATTAGAAATTTAGCTCCTATGCTGGAGTTCCCTTCATCTTTTATCTATCAAATCAGAGCTAATTGCATCCTTCTCATTGTAGAATTAGAAATCAACCACTTTTATAAAGTTCGTATCTTCCCTCTTGCTCAAAATAGTCTTTCAGTTATCTTGAAATTTGTAATAGCATAAAAAGGTAGCATGAATGCCCAGTCAATTCACTTTATATTATATTGGAGTTTAATTTGGTTGTCTTGAACTGTGTATAAATGATCCTTTTTCTACTGTCATTTGATTAAAATATATTGATGTTTGGATTTTTTTTTGTGTTTGGTTATTTAAGCTCTTGTAATGAGAATCCTAGAAGGATGCAAGTTCTCAATTGATACATTTTCTATTTATTTCTGGAGTTCTCAATTCGTGTAGACTGTGACCTTGCTACAAGCCTTTGCTTTTGAAGTTTGCCTACTGCCACTTGAATTTGTTAAGGTCATACAACCTGTATGAGATGTCAATGGACAAAATCTTTATAGAGATTCCTTTCGTAAATTATGTTTATATAAAATGAAATCAAAATATGTGATGAACTATTGTGGATCCAAATATGCTTTTGTATGGTAGATATATAATGTTCTTTGCTTAAAACTCCGTTGTCTTACTTAGAGATATGTAGTATTTACATAAAAACTTATTAACTATTATGTTGAGTATTTAATTGACAAATTAACTTACAATGTGAAATATTTTGTCACTTGCATAGCACGTTAGACTTCAAAATACTCATCAAATAAATAATTACAACATAAAAAACTAAAAATCCAAAATAGTCTAATTATCATAATAATGGACAAATGTAAATGATAAATAAAACTAGCGTGGGCCCCGACCATTTGGCCGGAGGAAGGTGAGGTATGAAATTTGATAATGTAATGGGGTGTATAGCTTATTGTTGTATAGTTTTATTGGGAAACACGTGATAAAAATAGTGAATTTTAGTAGGAAAGAGACATGAATGATGCAACGAATCAAAAATCAGCCTAATGAACCAAAATCAAGTACATGTTACCTTGTGAAACAATATTGTTTCTGGTAATATGATGAGGTGAAGTAAGTTTTATAGAAACCGAATTCCAGAAAATCAAATAAAAAATGCCTATCCCGGCGGTTTTCGGGAAATGAGCATCTCACAATCGTTGCTAGCTTTTACTCGTCCCGTTGGCCGATTAATTTGCTTTAAAAAACTTTCATCTTGTCATCATTGTGCTTTCTGGTTTTTTGCCAAGCCATGATAAAATCTAAAGAAATCAAGAATGAACAACACGATTTGGGATAGGAACTACCGTTCCTGTATCCCTAGAAAATGGTGGTAAACACGGAGTCACCTGCCAAACTGATTTGGATTGAGATTTTTATCGAGTATCAGGGAACCATGTGATTATAAATTAGACTTGATCAAAACGGGTCAAAATTTGAAATTCAGCATGTTTGACTGACCCATGCGAAACTCTAATTATTCTTTACTTTTAAACTTTCTATTTGAAAATAAAAAATAATTAAAGAAAAGAGATGACTGCAATTCGCCATTTGCACATCACTGATTCGGGGAAAAAATTATATAATTTCGAAAGGAAACTGAAAATGTTTAGGATCGTTTTAATGTTAAAAATAACCAAATAAATCTTTCTATTTAGTTTTTTACTAAAATATACCAAACAATTCCCCTATAATATACACTATAATTTAATCATTATGATATCAAATAATTAAATAATATATATTTGAAATGATAAAAATTGGACTAATTGGGTTGGTCGAGGTGGAACCATTGAATAACTTTAAAATATATTATATTTTAGCCACTAAGATATAAAATAATAGCATAATATATATTATGCTAGAGAAAATAGCTTGTTTTAGAATGACAAACCCATGATGTTCATTTGTTTTACTTGATGGGAAAATCTCATGTAAGTCAGGCCCATTCAATTCAACTCTTTTATTTAAAGATTAGCGGTTAGCCCATTAGAATCCATTCATTAGTTTATTGTTAATTTTTTTTCTTTTTAGCAATAAAAAGGATTATTGTTTTTGTCTTTTCATATATATTTTACCACCATGGAGAAATAAAAGGATTTAAAGAAAAAAATTGAAACTCCTGGACCCGTCTAAATTTGCATGTGTACGGTAAGTTGGCCCATTCCACAGAGGAAAAAGAAAAAAATTGACACTCCATATTCTACCCTTCTTACAAATGTTCCTGGAGCAGGGAATTTGAAATGGGGGAATGGTTTTTTCCTCTCTGCGATTATATGTTTTTAATTTAAAAAGCTACAACAAATGTACTTAGTGTGATGGATTATGATCTTTGCTTTTCTTTAAAGTGGTCATGGTTCAAATCCTAGTAAGTGTCTTTTTAATGAATAAAAAAAGTAATTGTAAAGACCAAAATGTCCTTCCTACTTTCACTCTGGATGCAGAAAATTTGAAATGAAGCTTCAAGTTTTCTCATTTGGCTTTTATTTATTGTGTAGATTTATTCGGCCAACGGGCCGAGTACAAAGCTAAAAAAGCCATCCTAGTCAATGCCGAATTTGCTTTTAAAAAAGCCCACTGCTCCCGTGGCAGGTGCCAATATCCTGAAACTAACCCAAAATTGGCATTTTTTAACCAAAATGCCCTCTGTTTAGTGTTTACACGGACCGTTCCTCCTCAGTCTCACCACGCGCAGCGGCACTCCTCCGTCAATTCTTAGCTCCTTTTCCTTTAGTAACCAGAAATCCAGCGTTTTGACTTTAGCAGTACTAAATCCCGTCGGATCGACCCCACGTCAGCTCCCTGACGAAGAATATCCACGTGGCAGCATCATACGGTGACGGCATCCCTCTACAGTAACAGGATTTGGAGGGAAACCTGAGCGAAATGGATTAAAAAAAGGAAAATACAGCACCCAAACCAAGAGACACATAAATCAGAAAGGGAAATATGATTCCAATTTCCAGCAGAGAGGCTCTGGGTCTGGCTGCAGGCTGATGGGCTCCTCCTCCTCTTCTCTTCCCTTCTTCCGTTCGTCCAACTTTTCTCTTTTTCTCAGCACTGCTCTCTCTAATTAATTAGACTGCGAGTTCAATTATAAACAAAACAGAAAAATCGGCAATCCATTCTCCTTTTAATCTTCCTCTTCCGCCAGCGATCGAAGTTGCGCCATCAAAGCTGGTTATGCATGGCGCGCTGCTCCACTGTCGCTTGACGGCGTAGTACAGAACGATAAAACGAAATTTTGTCTTCTCCGTCGTGTCTTCGGGATCAGATCTAATAGTTGGCGCCTTGGTTTGCTCAGATTTGTTTCGTTGTGCTGAATTGGGCGATGGTTTTGAGGAGAATTTAGGGGGATTCTGTCTTAGGGTTTTTGGGGCGGGCACATTCTTCGCTGGTGGGGGAATGGAGAACGGGAGGAGATCTGGCCAGCCGTCGGGGTACTTAGTGAAGAGCAAGGGGCCTTCGGGGTGTTTGATTGTGAGGAAGAAAGGGAGTGATGGCGTGGGAGGGGCGGGTTCTTCCGGTTCGAGGAGGCTTTTTGAATCGAAGAAGGAGAAGAAGAGGCCGAGGTTGGATTTCAGCGATTCCGGGTCCAGTGACGAGCTGTTAATGCGTTCACAGCCAAGGTTGGCGCCTGATACTTCTCGGATTCGTAATGGCGTGAGTGGTTTTGATGCGGGCGTTGAGGGCAAGAGTGGGGTTGCTAGGAAGAGGAGCAAGGGAGAGGGTGGTAGGCGTAGTGAGATGGATGGCATTGTCAGGGATAGTTTGATTGACCGGACGAGGACCAGGTTAGATGTGTATGATTTAGATGATCATGAAGGTAGGCGGGGTGGAATTGATAGTCGGAGGTTTTATGGCTCAATGTCTGTGGGTAGAGGTAGCATTGAAAGAGATTACGATTCTGGTTCAAGTAGAGATGCTCTTCGTGGGAATAGACAGGCTTCGTATTTCGAGAGGGCTAGTGGTTTCACTCGGGGCAATCCTTCTGCTAGGGAGGGAGTTCGGCTGCCGGCTCCAGTTCTGAGGGATGACTATGAATCAGAGCAACCAATTCGGGTTCAAGGTAAAAATGGAGTTTTAAAGGTTATGGTGAACAAGAAAAAAAAGTTTGGTGGGTCTCTCAATGGTCACAGTGCCATGGAGCTTGAGGAAGTAAGGAAGGCTGTGAGGACTAAAGAATTTTCCAACAAGAACGTTCTTATGCACCCTTCATATTACACGGAGTCTAAAATGATTGACAAAGCAATTCCATGTATTGGCAGAGAGAAGAAACCGATGAATCTGCTGAATTCGATGAAAAGTGAAGAAGATAATGTGAGTGACCAGGACTCTGGTGATAGTGGTATTTTGTTGACAAAGAAAGGAAATATGAGAGCCAAGTTTGCAGAACCTAGCAATTCCCAGAAGATGCTGTTCTCTACAAAGGCAAGTGTGAGCACTGGCATGAATTCTGATGACAGTGATACTTCCTTGAAGCTGCGACCAAAGAGCAGTGGAGGTCTTAGATCAAGATCGGGGACAAGCGTTGGCGATGAGAAAACCACGCCTGGTAAGCTCCTACCAAGCAAAGTCAATGAAGGCAAACTTAAGCGTGGTTCTGGCACTGAAAAGCAAAAGTTGCGTGAAAGAATTAGGGGGATGCTTGTAGATGCTGGCTGGACAATAGATTACAGGCCTAGGAGGAACAGGGACTATTTGGATGCAGTTTACATAAGCCCTGCAGGAACTGCTTACTGGTCCATCATCAAGGCGTATGACGCACTTCTTAAGCAGTTGAATGAAGATGAAGAGGTTGTAAAGGCTAAGGTGGAATGTTCTCAAATTACACCATTACCAGATGAGCTACTCAGCCAACTTACAAGGAATACTAGGAAGAAGATGGAGAAGGAAATGAGAAAGAAACAAAGAGACAGCCGCCAGAGTGAGAATGCAAGCGAAGCTTTAGCGCGGAAGGCGTCAAGCAGCAGGTATGATGAGGAGAGTATGGACAGCCATAGTCAGGAAGAGAAATTGAGCTCATTCATAAAGCAAAGTGGCAATTCAATTAAGGGTAAATTGCATTGTAATAGTTCCACCAGTGTAACCTCTAAGGGTCACCATTCGATGCATACTTTGCATGTCAACGGTGACAAATTTTCCTCTGGACACAATAGTCACCATGGCAGGAAAAGCAGAAAATTAGGTAGATGCACCTTACTAATCCGGAGATCAAACCAGGGTCTGAACTCAGATGGTGATGGTTTTGTACCTTATACTGGGAAAAGAACACTGCTCTCTTGGCTAGTTGACTCTGGAGCTGTGCAGTTGAGTCAAAAGGTGAGATACATGAATAGGAGGCGAACCAAAATTTTGTTGGAGGGCTGGGTAACACGAGATGGCATCCATTGTGGCTGCTGTAGTAAAATCCTTACAGTTTCAAAGTTCGAGATCCACGCAGGAAGTAAACTTCGACAACCCTTTCAAAATATATATCTGGACTCTGGGGTTTCCCTTTTGGATTGCCAGATTGATGCATGGAATAGGAAAGAGGCTTCTGAGAACATTGGTTTTCACTCGGTGGATATTGATGGCGATGATCCAAATGATGATACTTGTGCTCTTTGTGGTGATGGTGGGGATTTGATATGCTGTGATGGTTGTCCATCTACATTTCATCAGAGCTGCCTGGGCATTGAGGTAAGGTTAACTAATATACAGTGGATAGATAATCTTAATTTACTTGTTATTCCTTTTATTGGAACAAGTGATACTAGTTACTGTTTCTACTTGCTATTGCTTTTTTCTCTGTTATCTCAATAACAGTTAATAGGCTCTTTCCTCAGTTTGGCTCTGTTTCTTGAGCTGTTGGAGGGTGTTTATGCTTCCTGTTAGTGTCGGTTTGCTGCTTCTTTCATTTTCCGTTTCTCTTGCTTGGAGGAAAGTTATGTCAATTGATATAGTCAGTGTGTTTGTGTGTGTGCGCGCGCGTATGTGTGTGTGAGAGAGAGAGAGAGAGAGAGAGAGTTGATCTTTTCACCTTGATGTCTGAAGATGACTTTTTTCTTGTTTCAGATGCTGCCTCCGGGTGTTTGGCGTTGCCCAAATTGTACATGCAAGTTCTGTGGGTTGGCCAGTGACAATCTTGTTGATGAAGATGATCCAACTGTTTCGGCTCTTCCGACGTGCAGCCTCTGTACCAGAAAATGTACAATCATCTTATTATCTTGTTCAATTTTACATAATTCCTTCCCCTTCTCTTCCAACTTTCTACCATTTTTCAGATCATGAATCATGCATCAAGGATATGGATGCTGCTACTGTTGAAGGTGATAGTTCTAAATCTTGCTTCTGTAGCCAAAAATGCAGAGAGGTACTTGTTTCCCTTGAATATGCTGGTCATAATCATTAGCATATTAATGTTGTTGAGATTTCTCTCGTCTTGTCTGTGTGAAGGACTGAGATTTGTTTGAAAGTTCTTGATATATGACATTTTTGGTTAACATACATGAAGATGTTTGTGCTACTTCTGTCAGAAGCAACAGGCTTCTGGTTGTTCTCTTTGTTTACCTTAGGGTTTCCAAGGCATTTGAAATTCGCATTCCATCTCTAGATCAGTGGGATTCTGATTAATGGTCTTCATCTTTTGCTCATGTCCCTTATGCAAGTTTAGCTTTTATAAAGTCTGGAATCTCAAGAATAAATAGATTCCTGTTGTTGGTTCTTACAGTTGGGGATGCCAGCAAAATTTTTTGTGTTGTTATTCTTGTTCTGGAGGATTAAACTAGTGGTGTTTTTCACTTCCAAATCTGGCATGTAATTGATCGGCATATCATCAGCTGTTTTTTGTTTTGCTACTATGCTTCTTTCTCATCTAGAACTGTTCTATTTACCCCCTACTTTTGTTGCTTTCAGCTCTTTGACCAATTGCTAAAGTATCTGGGCGTCAAACATGAGCTGGAAGCAGGATTTTCATGGTCTCTTATTCGGAGAACAGACTTTGACCTGGATATATCTCTTCAGGGACTTCCTCAGAGGGTAGAGGGGAATTCAAAGCTTGCTGTGGCTTTCTCTGTTATGGATGAATGCTTTTTGCCAATAACTGACAGAAGGAGCGGGATCAACTTGATCCATGGTGTTCTTTATAATTGTGGGTAAGCATCTTTGTTCTTATGGGGTGGGAATCGTGCCTCCTCATTTTGAGCGTGTAACTTTTGTTAGTGCATGTGTCAAGTCTGAGCGAGCTATTTCTGTCAATATAGATATATTTTGTGGCTTATTCATTTCTCGATAATTCTTACACTCAAAGTTAAGAGTGCTTCCCAGTTTGGCATTAGAGAATTTGTTTCTGTAACAGCTGGTCTAATAGTCTATGACTTGCCCATTCTATATTACTCCCTCTTGTCATTTCCTTTCTTCGTGTAGTTTGCTCTCTGTTCTTCAGGCTGTTAGAAATTGTTATACCTATGTTAATATTGTTCTTTTCTTTTTGGATGGAACACCAATACTGATCATTCCAAATTATGTTTGTTCAATATTATTACAGGTCAAACTTCAATCGACTCAACTACAGTGGATTCTTTGCCTTGATTTTGGAGAGGGGTGATGAAATCATTTCTGCTGCATCCATAAGGTATGACATTGATTATATATGCCATGTGGACTTCATTCCATTTGTGGCTTTAAAGTATTAACTAGTGAGAGAACATAATTGCCAGTAAAAAGTTCTGAAGAAATTTTTTCTTTAGTCGAAGCTTCTGTGATCCTGATCCTCGGAGATTAATCTCTGGTAAAGCCAGATATGCAAAGTTAAAGTTTACTGTTACTGATAAATCTCTTTGTGGATTCATGTGGCCTGCAGCTTAGGTTGCATAACTACCTTCATTGGCCATGCTAGTTTTACTTTTAGGCCCATGCATGGGGATCTGGTTTGGATTTGGGTTTTGTAAAGCATGACACTTTCTGCTGGCATATGCTTTGCCTTTGTTTGGTTATTGAGCTTTGAGAAGGCAACTAGTCTAACCAATTAGTTGAACCTTTTCTTTATTAGATTGCATGGGACAGAGTTAGCCGAAATGCCCTTCATCGGAACTCGCCACATATATAGACGTCAGGGAATGTGCAGGCGTCTTTTTAGTGCTGTTGAATCGGTATGAGTTTTCCTTAAACCTCTTGAATACCCATTTTGTTTACGGTTAAGATTTTTTTCAAATCAATGGGCGCTCCTCTCACCTTTCTCGCTTGTGGGACCATTGGTTTTATATCTTGGCAGGTACTCCACTCATTGAAGGTTGAGAAGCTAATTATTCCTGCGATTTCTGAGCTAATGCACACATGGACGGAGGTATTTGGGTTCACTAGCCTTGATGAATCCCTTAAGCAAGATCTGAAGTCCATGAATACGATGGTGTTCCCTGGTGTGGATATGCTTCAGAAACAGTTACTTCAGCAGGAACATGTGGAGAAAATGAACACTAATGAAGGTTTTTCCCATTTAGTATTTTGTGGGTAGATATTTTCCTGACCTGATCCCATATGTTGATGAACTCTCTATTATTCTTTGTAGGTGTGAAAGAGATGGGATCCAACGGTGATAAATGTATGGACAATGGTTCTGCGGATAGTGGTTCAGCTGGAGATTATCTCAATGAAAGTGACAGTGGTGGTCTCGAGCTTGATAATGGTGAAGCAAAAGTGGGAGAATTGTCTAGGGAAAAATCTGATACATCGGGTCTAGATGCCTCTGCACACTCTACAAAGAGTTTCTTAGATGCACCCCACAAGATTAAGCATAGCGTCAGCTCAGATTCCGGACTAGTGGACAAGAAGTTGGATAAATCCAGAATATCCAATCTGAAATCAGCTGCTGGGGAGAATGGCGATATCTCTTCTCATGCTCATCCCGATAACCAGTTTCTTCTTCCCATTTCTTCAGACAATGTTTCTGGAATGAGCGCTTCACCAGATGCTTCTCATGGGCATAAACAACCCGTAAATGGCGAGGAAGCTAATTGTGTGGATGAATCAGCTTCTGTTGCTAACCATTTGAGGATGCCTAATGTTACGAGCAGTCGGAGAGAAAAAGTCACAGAGGCGGTACACAACTTGGGGGAGAATGGAACTGATGATGCCCAAGCGTTCAATCTATTAAGCGAGTCTACATCCGAGGATGAATATAAAGGTTCATTCTCTACTGAACAGACTAAATCCTCAAGTGATTTCCAGAAAGACTCTGAGCCCACCAATGTTGACGCTCCCCAGGAGGAATATCAAGTGGGGTCAGGCCTTGAAGCTACGAACCATCCAGAAGCAAGTTATGAGCATGGTTTCGACACTGATGCTAGTGAAGGTAAAACGGAATCTGAGTAGCTACCACATTCCAATCATTTACAGTACTCCGACGACAGTGAGGGTTTGCATTTTGGGCACCTAGTTTTGGCATGTGATCTCAAGCGGATGCGTTGTTCTGGACACAGTGGCTGTACACAGTGGGTTGCTTCTGTATGTATAAAATTACCATGAAAAATCTGCCAGCTAGTATGCCTGCCAGGTACGCTCGACGATCTTGCTATGCTTTTTCCAAGTTTTGGTCCTCCCGGGAAGAGTGCAAGTAATCAATCTCGCTGCGTGGAGTGAAGGGAGAGAGGGTGAGGCTTCCAGCCGCTGCTGTATGTTGAATGGGGTGGTGTTGAGAGTAACAGCTATGTCGTTTGCAGTCACCTGTGGAACGTGTATATAAGTTTGGTATTGGGCGGCGGGGTTCCAGATTTTGGTACTTTGATGCTCTCGCACCCTCCCTGTAAAAAAAGAACCGAATTCAATTCTTACGTTGCAGATATCCCCTGTTTTTTTGTTATCCCATCTTACAGAAGACTACTGGTTTCTCGATACCAATTTTTCCTTGTGTGCAAGTGCAAGAAACCGAGATTGAAATTGTTCTTCCTTTCCATTCAATCCAATGCTGCTTCTTAATTGAACTGAATCCATTTGATATTTACATTCTCACAAAAACTCCTCAGCGGTCTTCAAATCATCCAGTATCTCAGACTTCACGGATTCCGGTAGTGCTGCGGATGGCCCTGCTTTCGAGTAGAAGCTCACCAGTGCTCTTATTGCCTTCTCTATCTCCACGTACGATTCCTGCAGGTTACAATGATTGCTTGATGAAAGATTTACCAGATCCAGCACTATCAGTCTTTGCGAACGACCGAACAATTTTTACCTCGTGGACGATCTTCTCTTGGCCCCTCCAATTGCTAAAATACTCTCTAATGGATTCCTTGGCTGCGTCGGCGTTCTGTCTGAACTTGGCATTGTCCTTGGGATCCTCCTGCAGCGACTCTCACAGCATCTTCACCACCTCTCTAGCCGAATTCAGGTAAGCTTTCGGAAGCAGTCTCCCTGATTTCGTCTTCTCGTTTGGATCCAGAAGCGATTTGATTGCGCCGATCACGCCCTCCTCTTCGTCCTTCGCCGGTTGTCCTCCTTCGGCTCTGGCAGGCAAGGTCGTCGGGATCCAGTACGGAGACAGACTGGATATTGCCGAAATAGCACCGGCGAGCAAGACTCGCCGACGAGTCTCCGCAACTTGATTCTGTCGCAGCTGCTTATCTGTGAAAGCGACGATGAAATCGTCATCTGGAAATTCGATTCGGAAGCAGGGAGTGGTATGTACTTACAGGAACCCTTGCGTTCGGAACAATCAGTTGGTGCTTTGACAGGAACGGAAAGGCCGCAAAACTCGCGGCGGTCGGCGCCATTGTTCTGCCGTCGATTCCAGTTCGGCAGCTGGCTCCAATCGCGCGCTTCAGGTCGGATATCTCAGCTTACGTCATTTTCTTCTTCGAATCTATCCGAATGGAAATGGACATAGCTGTTATTTTGAGGAATCGTGAAGGTCAAGTTAGTCATTGAACCAAGCCTCCGACGTCGTTCTGTTCTCTCTCTCTCCCTCCCTCTTATATATCCGCCGTCAGACGTCAGTCTCTGTTTTTTCGGATTTATGACTCGCCTTTCCGTTGAAAATAGGAGACGAGATCTCTCACTCGCGCTCCTCTTTCCTCTGCTGCCGTAATTCAGACGCCGGTGAATTTTGATTCCAGCAATCGGCGGCAGTTTTCCCGGTCTTGCAGGAATCCTCTCCTATTACCGGATATGACTAACAGCTCCCAGCAAAAATCCTCTTCCTTGAAGCCTTCCTCCTATGCTTCCGCGTCGCAGAGGAAATCTCGCTGGGAGTCCTCTTCCTCCGCCGCTGCTGACGCCAGCAATCCACCGTCGGGATCGAAATCCAACCTGCCTAAACCGGCTAAACCTCATTCCAATTCCAAACCCTCGCCGAAGCTGAAGACAGGGCCGTCTCCCAAGCCTACCGCTCCTCCGGAAGCTCTTGCTCCGCCACCAGGTGCAGCCTTCCCTTTCCCTGACTTCGGACCTCCTCCTACTCCCACCTATGGCTTCCACATGCTGGAAAGACGGACCATTGTCCTTGCAGACGGTAGCGTTCGGTCCTACTTTGCTCTTCCCCCAGATTACCAGAACCTCCCTCCTTCCCGTTTCGTGACCCCTCGTCAGCTTCCAACCGGCGGGGATCTCAGATTCCCGCCAATGAGTCCTGAAGGTTTAGGGTTCCGTGATGGCAATCAGGGTCGAGATCAAAACCACAGCGCCGCTATGAAGAGGAAGCACGCTGGAGGAGGGGAGGACGAGTTCAAGTTCAGCGACAACCCGAACGGGTTTCATTCAGCTGGGGCCGGGCCAAACAGTCCTTTTATGAGGGGTGATGAACTGAGGCCAGGGAAGTTTATGAGGATTGGTGGTGACAGCGCGGGAATGATCCATAAGCACCTTGAAGTGGACCAGAACAAGCTAAAGACGGCTTTTCTACACTTCGCGAAAGTGATTAATGACAGTGAAGCAGAGAGAAGGCGTTATTTAGAGAACGGCAAGCATGGACGGATACCTTGTGTCGCTTGCAACAGGTTTGTTTCAGTTTTCCTGTCTTTTACTCTCTCTACTGATTCGATACTTGTGCATCTGTTTTCCTATGCAAGTTTTTCTTCTCGTAGTGTAAGGTAGCATGTTGTTTCGAACATGGGGTACTTGGGAGTTTGGACTCTGATTGATGAGTTTGCAGTTGTTATTTATGTCTTCGAGCTAAGGGTGGATAATTCTTTTCTTTGCTAGTTTACTACATTGCTTGATGGAACCAGGAAGGGTTATCGCTTTAATTCCTTTGTTACTTCATGTTGGCACTATGATGTTTGTGCATTTCCACGTTAGAGGAGGGCAATCCTTGCCTTCGGTAGTAGTTCGATCTTTATTTTTGTCCCAAGCATTCCTCTTTTGGTGCACTTTGAGGAAAAATCGTATAGCCTCATTCTTTCTGTATTAAGGAATCTGAGTCTATGAGTTTGTAGCATTTGCTCAAGCGACAGTGGCAGTGGGTTCTTTATACTTTCCTTGCTATCTTCCCCAGACATTATTTCGCTGCTACCCAGTATGCAGGAGCTCATTCCTCATGGGCCATGGCTGCTCTCGTACTACCTACTACAGCATGGGATCCTTTTCAAAAACCCCAAAAACATTTTATAGAGAAATGAGCACCAAAAATGATCCGTGGAGATCAATCCAAAAACTTACAGTTGAAATGACTGTCCAAATCAGGCCCTTGCTTTATGGAAAACCTCTGAAGTGCTCCCTTTCTCAGCGAGATTAGTTGCTACACTGCAGCAGTAGCAGCTTCTTGTGTAAATTGTTTTGGCTTTTTTTAACACGGAGGAAGTAGCAGGAAAGTAATTCCATATCTAGAATAGCATTGGATGAATCGTCCCTGTTAAGAGTCCCACCAGCCATCACTGCCTCCTAATGCCCCATTTGTCTACTCAATGTGCGTAGAGTTTGTTGTAATTATGCAAGTTTGAGTGTTTATTATTTACTGACGATTATAATAAAATTAACCTTCCCTTGTAATTCCAGCTCAGATTTAGGGTGGTTTGTAGCTACATATTTCAGGATGAAGAACAAAGTTTTATCGAGTCTTTGGTTAGATTCTCAAGTAAGTCCTGCTCCTTGGTTTTACTGTCAACCCTTTATACCCTATTTTCCCTTTGTTTCTTGAAATTGCAGCAATCATAACAGAAACCTTCTTTTCCTGCTTGCTTTACACACTATAAACTCTAGGAACGTCAGACTCTGTCCTCAAGCACTTGATTTCATCAAACTTTTTGAGAATCTGAGTAAGAGAATAGTGGGTGAAGATAAGGATTAATTCCACTTATCTGTTAAGTTGCTGGGAATATGTTAATTTGTCTTGTTTGCAGTCGCTTTTGGTGGTTCTGAAAGCTACTTTTTCCATATGATTTGTTTTTTCTGCGAATCATTACTCGTGAGCTGGGGTCCCTCTGATTGGTTGACTGTGGCCAAGTCCTACATGATGATAGCTCTGCTGACTTGACGATGGAATGTATGTGAAGCACAGGGTATTTAGAATGACTGATGGGTTTCCAATTGTTTGCCATTTTTAAATCTAACTACATTGCTTGAGGGCACGAGGGTTCAGAAAGGATTATCTGCTTTAAGTTACTCTTTTAATTCGTGCTGCCACTATGATTGTTTCACATATGCCTTTGAAGGGCAGGAGGGAACCTCTTGCCTTCGATAGTAGTTCAATCTTTGATTTAGGTCCCATGTGTTCCTCTCTTGCTGCACCTTTGTGGAAGGAACTTAAATATTAGTATGCTATAGCTTCATTCTTTCTCGATATATGAACTTAAGATCGCGAGTGGGTGGTGTTTATGTGAGTGGCTGTGGCTTTAATACTATCCTAGCTACCTTCCCCAGACACACATAGCTGCTAACCAGTATGCAGGGACTCATTCCTGGCTGCTGCTTGGGCTACTGCACGGCCATCATTTCCATTGTTTTGCCAACATTTATTTCCTGAAAGCAATCAAACCCACAGTCTAAACGGCTGCCAAGCACGGGTGCTTTAATAAAAAACCATGAGTCCATTCTCATTGATATTACTTCATTGTCGGAAAACAACATCAACTCCAGCTGGTTGTGTAAATTGGTTTGGCCATTGATTGACCGAGGTACCAGCACCAAGAGCAATGCTATATCAGAATAGTATTGGATCACTTCTCCCTCTTAAGATCTCCCCATGAAGAACCCTAATTCCCCATGTGTCGACTCTGATGTCCACGGAGGTTGTTGTAATTTTTTATTTTATTTTTCCTTATTGAAGGTTTTTATTATGTAAGTTATAGTGTTTATTACTTGCTTATGATCGTCCTAAAGCTTGCTTTCTCTTAGTAAATTTTGCCGTCCCATTAAGGTAGTTCGTAGCTAGAATAACAGGATGAAAGATCTAAGTTCTATTGAATCTTTGATTAGAATTAGAGCCTTCTTGAGTGGATTCTCAAGTGAAGTCCTGCTCCTTGGTTGGAGAGGCAAACCTTAGAACCCTAAATTTCATTGCTCTCTTAAATTCCAGCAACTATCAACAACAGAAATCTTCCTTTCCGTGATATAAACTCTGGGCATACATACTTCTGTCCTCAAACACCTGATTTGTCACACTTTAGACTAAGGAATTAGGGGCTAAGACGAGGATGCTCACTAACCTGTGTGCATGTGCTCTTTGTACAGATAGATTGATAGAACCATGTTTCTATCGGGTTTTTGGATCGGGATTGGTGTTTGGGAATTGGGGATTATAGGCCAGAATCGGGGATTTAGGGTTGAAGAAGATAGAATTACGGATTGAGATTGGATTTGGGGAAGAATTGGGGAAGAACTAGAGAGAATGGCCGGCGGCCTGATTAGGGAGAGAAGAGAGATTGAGAGGATTAGAGGAGATTAGGATTTAGGAGATTTTATTTATATTCTTCTTGATTGATTACTAAACGAATAACAAAGTACACTTATAGGAAAAGAGCGGAAAACCTAACAATAAATCTAATCTTAACAACCAAGTAATGATTTATCCTAATAATTATCCCTGATATTAATATGATGATTATAGAATATCAATTCACTTTTGTATATGATATACTCAGAACTTACCAGCGAATTCAGTTTTTTAGTGTATTGGTTTCCCGAGGAGTGCAATTGTGAACACATGTTGATTTAACTCTTTTTTCCTTCTCCAACTGTATCTGAACACAACTCAAAAGGTTGATGCATGACATGGAATGGAACATTAATATAGTTGTACCACTCTATTTCCTTGTCTGGTAGTTTTCTGGTAGACCTGACTGTATAGGCTGCGGCAAATCTGTTTGGTGTTTTAGATTCACAGCAAACAAGTGGGATCATTGCCTAAATTCGTTATTGTTCGATCCCCTTCATGTTGCAAAGTACAGGTCGAAAGATTTTCCAGATGTGCATGCTCTTATAATGCATACATACAACTCAGAAAAGGCTGAATCTCGTGTGGATCACTTGGGTTTACACAAAGCCCTGTGTGTTTTAATGGGATGGAACTTCACCAAGATTCCTGATAGTTCAAGGGCCTACCAGTTCCTACCTGCCCATGAAGCAGCAGCAAACCAGAACGATGTGATTGTGTGGCCGCCTTTGGTGATTATTCATAACACAGTTACAGGAAGGGGTAAAGATGGGCGCTTGGAAGGTTTGGGAAATAAAGTCATGGATGGCAAAATAAGAGGTATAGTGCAAACCTTCATTCAATCGTTCTTGTTTGTTTTGAAACAATGTGACATATCAGATCCATGGATTCCTTTGTTCCTGAATGGAGGATGGGTTGCACTGCACAATAGTTCAATCTACTAAAGTGACTTGGTGGTATCCAAGAAGGGTTTCTATCTTTGACAAACATCTGTAGAAGAACTTGCTTTGGAACATTAGCAGCTCTGAAGCCGGCTACTAAAAAGTGAGCTAAACACTCAGTCCGTCTGTGCGAAGAGGCACCACTGAAGGTAGTGGTCTAAGAAGATACCAGGAGATTGCAGTCGGAAGAGTTGTTGGTTTCTGAGTTCTTTCCCTCCTTTTCTTTCTTTTGTTTAGTTTCTTTAGGTATGATTCTGAAGCCTAAGTCTGGTTTCTAAGTAAACCTTACTGTTAAAGAATGGAGTTGCACCGACTTTCACTCCTCAAAAATGTTAGAACAACTTCCTTCTCAATCTTGGTGGCCTCTCAGTTTCTTTTGGAGGGGGAGTATATCTGACATCCTGCTTCCAACAATCAGGAATAGGTTGTTTGCATTTTGTTTTTGTTTTGGCGAGGAATGGGTAAGGTTGTTGCTAAACAGTTCTTTTCTTCTTTAGCAATGGGGGGTTAACACCGTTTCTAATGTGTTATGTCTCAACGGTCTTATATTCATATCATGGCCGGGTTTAGGAAGCAAGCAATTGTTGGGCTTCTGATGTTTTCGGGGTAACTTTCCTTCCTTTAAGCCCCTTGTGTCAGTGAACTAGAATAGTAGCTCTTTATCTGTAGGTCCTTAATTGACCTTCATGAATAGGGTCCAACGGTAGGTTGGAACTCTATTTTTCAGAAATAACCATTAAGATGAACTCAAGTCACTGTCATAGATAGATTCTCTGCTCTTAGCTGTAATATTCTCTCATAGCCAGTGTTTTGGTCATGGAGTCAATATGCCAGTTCAGCTGTCTAATGCAGCTACATTAATGATCCTGTTAGAATGTGCTGTGCTGTCCTGTGCCTTTTTCCTGCTACAGATACAAGTTTGTTAAGACTTAATACCCTAATTTATCTTGTTAGGGTATGATGATGGGCAGAACCCATCTTCATGTCTGCCAGGCACTGAAGCTGAGTCTGACTGAACGTGGAAACTTACCGAATACCTAGTTTCTTTTAAGAACTTAGTATTTCTTACCACTAATGAGAAGCTGAGTCAGATGAATGTTCATATCCTTTGAGCAATTGAGTCAGATCTTTTAGAGACTGAGATCAGTTATCTGTTGTCAACATATATTCGGCTACTGAACAAATAGAGCAGTGCTCGTTTCACATTTGGCGGATGCTCCTCCTGGCTTCATTTCTTTGTAAATGCAATTCTAGTTTTGTTATATGCTGGTCATAATACCAGTGCAAATCACGTTTATCTCTTTTCCCTTTCTGATTTTACTTTCTATAACAATGTGGCTTTTCAGCTCTTGGATTTCCAGGTGGCAAGTCCAAGTCACTGTATGGAAGAGACGGTCATCAAGGAATGACGCTCGTAAAGTATAGCGGTGACATGTCAGGCTTGAAGGAGGCCGTGCAGCTGTCCGATCATTTTGCGGTGCAGAATCATGGGCGAATCACATGGGAACGTATACAACCGGTGACTTTAGGCAGGGACGACGACGAGCGGAATCCAAACTTCGTGAAGGTGGACCATCGCAGTGGGGATAAGACGAGGATTCTGTACGGGTATCTTGCCACAGCTGCTGATCTTCACAGGTTGGATTTCGAGACGCGGAGGAAGGTCACGATTGAGAGCCTTCGAGAATACCAGCAAGTCAGTCATCCTCGTCCTCGATAACAGGATCACTCAGAGGTAACAAAGAGCTGTATTCGAACTTTGATATTTATCCCATTTGCGATTCAAAGGCACCGGTCTATAATCTGTGTGTTGGTCAATGATGATCGTTGTATTTTATCAGAATTTGAGGTGGTATTTAGGAATGACCAGATTGCATAGAGAGCTTCAGATGTATCATCTTAATTCATTTCATAAGCCTGCCTTTAGTTAGTCCTTATCACTAAACGGGTGGTGCGTGGTGTCAGTCAGATTCTTAATTCTATAGCTCTTTCGTCTCTTACAAAGCCAGTTGTTGCAAGTATGTAATATTAAAACTGCTTCTTTGCTTTCTGGGTAGTCAAGTCAAGGACAAGGGGAGATGTTGTTATTGTGTTAGTTTTTGTTTACACAGAAAGTGAGGGTTTTGGGTTTAGACTTAAGAGGTTGAGTATTGGAAGTAGGGTATGTTAGCTGCTTGGTTGTGTCGAGGGAGGTTTTGGGCGGCAAAACGATACCCTAGCTCGAACATTATAAGTATTTATGCAGGAGTTTGTAATTCTAACATGTTGTACTAGATTCAATATGACGTTTCGGTGATTGATAACAATGTATGTGACAAATGTGTAAAAGTTGATCTAGTTGTCAGCTATTAGTCAGCCATTACAATGATTTTGTGTCTGTTGATGTAAGCCGCACCTGGAAAGATTGTTTTTGTGTGTGTTGGTTACTGTTGGGTGAGAGCACGTTTGGATGGTGGGTTGTTAATGTTTAGAAGTAATAAATGAGAGGGACTGGCGGGATGTTTGGCCCTTCCCACCCAGCAACTTCTTTGTTTCCATGTTGATGTGCATGGAATCGATTGGGATGGAAGAGGGAAAAAGATTTGAGTGGCGTCGAGTTAGCGACAGAGTGAGTAGTGCATCTAAATTCTAAACTAATAATGACTTTTTGAACTCTGAGGCTGGGGCTGGGGCTGGGGCTGGGGCTGAGCGTGGTTGGATGGGAGAAGTCACTCTCTGTCTGCTTGGTTTTTGTTGTCTTGCTGCTGTCGACAATGGTTTGCCATTTATTCCTCCCTCGTCTTCGTCCCATATTAGAGGTGAAGGCGTGAAGCAAGCATGAGCCTTTCTAAGTAGGGGTGTTCAAACGGTTTGGTTACCGTGGTAATCGTTTTAATCGGTACTATTTGGTTAATTTGGATAATTGGTTTGGTTTGGTTTGGTTAAAGTTTTTAGCTTGTTTGGTTTAGGTGGTTTGGTTTGGTTTCAGACACTACTAACCAGTCAAACCAAATTAACATGTTAAGTAATTAGTCATATATCTAACATATATTATATACACATACTTAATACTTTGCATAACCACTCAAGAGTTAACGTTCATCTCTTTTAGACTCATAAAATATAAAGCTCAATATTGCTCATATAGTGTATATTCGTATATGTAAAATGTAGACCACAATATATGGACGCCTAATTTAGATAAATTTCATACATTATGATGGATGAAAACTTGAAAGGAATGTCATTTCTAGCCTATGATAATTGCTAAGAGACTAAAAGTCAATTTACACAAACACAACAATTCATTAACCCATATCATTGTCATAAATTTTTGTTAGGTGAATACTTCTATACTAATCGTAAGATAATTGTCTTGGTTGCATGTATTTTTGTTAAGGGTCAACTATAACTACGTGTTGATTGTTATGTTTTATTCATTATATAAATTACGAATTGTTGCATTAACCGGAAAATTTTCATCGTCAATGATAATGTGATTTTATATTGGTTAATCTGGTTAACCAATTAACCAAACCGATTAAACTTTAGTTTGGTTAATTTGGTTGCTGTATTAGTTTGGACGGTTTGGTTATGATATTGTATTCCATGGTTAATGAAATTTAGCCTTATTAGGTTTGGTTATAACCATGATAACCATTTGAACACCCCTATTTCTAAGGCAAGTTTTCTGTAAGATTTTACAAGAGGAAGAGGAAAAATTAGAACATTACATTATATTCACCCATAAATCAAAAGGTTATTCTCCAACTATGAGGGTTCAAAACTTGAACAATAGTGGGATGATTGTGGCGTCCAACAAGGATTCAAAAATCTTGAATTTATTACCCTCTCTCCTTTGAAATTTTACTCTGGTTAAACATTCCATAGTCACCAGTCACCACCCTCAATCATATTGCGTTTGACATTTAAACAGTTTTCTACTTTCTACTGTTTTAGCCTAGTCTTAATCCTAAGCTCTATACTAAAGCCCACCCTAAGTAGCAATTATCATCCACCTAGTAATGAAATTCTTTTCCCACCTAGAATCCAAGACTCCTAATAAAGTTAGCGATGAGTTAATCAGACCAAGAAGTCGTTTGGTGTATTTAAGTGCACTTATTCTGTAGATAGGGGTTTCATACTCTATCCACCATCAAGCGACAACGGAATTTGTGGAGGAACATGAATGGAAGTGAACTTAATGGGAGTGGGACTGGAAGAAGACGTCTCGAGTTCCCAATAGTGAACTGGATTTTGAGGAATGGAAGTGAACTTAATGGGAGCGAGAGTGGAAGAAGACGTCTCGAGTTCTCTAAAATGAACGGGATTTTGAGGAAAACAGAATATGTTTACGGATAAAGAGGGGCATATTTGACACTGCACCTTCCATCAGGTTGTCCAAATCGTGGTTTGACATGGTTCAAGGTTTTCAGTTGAGAATGCTAACAAATGTGCATATTTGATAAATCATTTATAGTACTTGACCACACTTGACGATTTTTAGTCGAGAATCTCAAAGAATGTGCATATTTGATAACATGTTTGAAGTACGGAGATATGTTTGTTGATAAAAAAAAAAATAGTAAAATGATATGGTTGATAACAAATATATAGTACACACTACACAATTATATTTTTTTTTTTTTTGATAATGGTGATAGAATTGCATTAGAAGGAAAAGAGGAACCGTACAGAGAAAAGCGGAAAAAATCCCAAAATACTCTACCTATTAAAAAAAATTCCTCAAATACAATACTTATAAACTTTTTTCCCAAAATACAGCAGTTTCAGCATCACTGTCTTTGTCCAAGACAGTGATGAAGATCACCGCTTTGATAAAAAACGGGGAAGGTATCACCGCTTTTGAGTAAAGCGGGGATAACATCACCGCCTTCGACCACAACAGTGATTGCTTCACCGCCTCGGACCACAACACTGATAGCTTCACCGCTTTGGATCACAACAGTGATCACATCCCCGCCTTTCACAAAAACGGTGATAATCGATCTCTTCACCGCGTTTATGGGAAACGGTGATAACATCGCGGTGGACAAAAACGGTGATAATTGACCACGTTTTTCTACCCTGGTAGGTGGAAAAATTAGGTCACAGCGACCTAGCTATCACCGCTTTGGACAACAGCGATGATGTGTTCACCGCCATTGTCCAAAGCGGTGATTAGCAGCCATTTTTTCCTATAAATTCCAAAGCCCACTTCCTTCCTGCTGCTGCCTTACAGCACCCAAATACAACAAACCCTGTTTTTTTAGTCGGTTTCTCAGCTGGTTTGGAGTTGGTTTACTGCTCAAGAAACTCGTCGGGATTCGGTATGTTAGAATTATGTATTGTTTACATTAATTTGTATATATATATAGATTAATTATGATATGATAGATGTTAGTTAGTTAGTACTGAATTTAGATTAATTTGTTTAGTTTTCTCATGATAGATCGGGATTGAGTATGTTATAAGTATGTATTTTTTACATGTTGAGCTGTTAGTATGAATATGTCTGTATTTAGTGAATCGCGGTTATTGGAAAATATGTTATGATATATTTAGATTAATTATGATATGATAGATGTTAGTTAGTTAGTACTGAATTAGATTAATTTGTTTAGTTTTCTCATAATAGATCAATTAGTTGCATTTTATTATGGGTTTGTTTTGTTTTTGTATCCATAATGTACTAATTGTATACTATACTTAATTATTATAAATTGCAGACATGGGTAAATTTAAGAAGTTTCGGCTTATTATTCGGTGGAATGGTCGGGTGACAAACTCGAACATGGGGATCGACTATGAAAATGGCGAATCCAATATGCTTAAAATTGAGTCGAGATTCTCGTGGCAAGAACTCCATGACAAGTGTGCAGAAAGGACTTGTACGGGCGGGCAAAGGAGAGTTCGTCTAATTACTTACCGGTATCCCAATATGAGTGCTGACGGAGTCATGTACGAAAAAGTTGTCATAAATGATGATGACGCGGTGAACAAGCCACGGGATCGATACTTGCCCCGCATTCAGTGGTGGATGCCCCTAACCTTCGACGGGCGTGGTGGTCGGCATGTTGAACCCCAAACGTTGTTGAATCAATGGCCCCCAACCATCTTCTGGTTTTCTCGAGTTTTCGATGATGGCATCTCCAGTGATCGGGAGCCCAGTGAGGATGGCAACATCTTTGAGGGTGATCGTCATTTCACCCTCGGGAAAGTGGAAGGTATGCAGCTCGGGGCGCCATCGCTCAGCCATTGCCGTCAGCAGATCATTGTCAATATCAAGCCTCATAAAGTGCCTCAGCATGTGCAATCCCGTCCTCTCTAGATAGGGCTGCAGTCGATCATTCCAACGGGGCAATCGACATGTCCCTCGATGACTGATGGGAATAAGTGATTCCTACAAAACAAAAAACACAATATTGTCAGTCAATAGAAAAAAAAATAAAAACGGTAAAACTATTGAAATAATTTTAGTGTGTCTACCGGATTATTGTTCCAAATTGAACGGGAGCGATGTTGATCTTGCCCGGTTAAATACCGTGGATCCCTTGGGCCAGGATCGATATACAATCTAGGGTCGTATATCTCAGCACCCATCTATAAAAAAATATGAAATCAAATCAATTTAAATTTTAGCACCCATGTAAAAAAAGCACAAAAGAATAAAATAAATTTACGTACTCTCAAAGCCTCTTCGTCCATTTTTTGCCGAAAAGCTAGCTAGAGTATCGACAAAAAACAAAAACTCTAGTAATTCTTTCTGATGCGGAAGATCGGACTTAGCCGCAACCACAGAGCATACTTAGAACGAAACTAGAGTGAAGTTGGAGGGAGAAAGAAGTATAAAATTTGGTGGTGTGGTTTGGAATGAGGGGGGGGGGGGGGAGTGGTATTTATAGGGGGGAAGGGAGGGGAAGGGGACGCTGGAAATTTATGGCGGCTAATCACCGCTTTCATCGGCCGCAGTGACAACACCGCGTTAGTCAAAGGCGATGATGCGCGGATGGCTGACGTGGCGAGGCGTGAGGCGTCGGATCGTGGAGAAAAACCACAATCCGCGCCTCACCGCATCGAACGGCAGCGGTGAAGGGCGCGGATGGCTGACGTGGCGGGGCTATCACCGCTTTTGTCTTACGCGGTGAAGTCCCCGCTCCTCGCCACGTCAGCGATCCGCGCCAACTTCACCGTTTTAAATATCAACGGTGATAAAGCTTCACCGTTTTTCTTATCAACGGTCAAGCTATCACCGCGTTTGTTTAGGGCGATGATAGCTTCACCGTTTTGGACAAAAACGGTGATAGCATCACTGTTGTTGTTTAAAGCGGTGATACTATCACCGTTTTTGACCAAAACGGTGAATACCATCACTGTCTTGGACAAAGACAGTGATGCTGAAACTGCTGTATTTTGGGAAAATTTTTTATAAGTATTGTATTTGAGAATTTTTTTTTAATAGGTAGGGTATTTTGGGATTTTTTCCGAGAAAAGCGGGCTAAGGTTCACAAAAGGGTGAACCAAAAACCCCGCAGACACAAAAAGGAACAGAAAGAAACAAAAGGTTCACAATCATATTTTACCTGTAAGCTGTAACCCATTTATTAATACACCAAGAAGAAGAGGATAAGAATAAGTAGTATTGGACTATTGGTGGTGGCAGCGAGTTTGGTCGGCTGCCTGCACATTCAATTGAATGATGCGCATGCCCTGAAACACACACAAGAGTTTATATTTGTACCAGCCAGCCCCAGCCAGCAATTAAACTAAATTGGGTATTCCATGTTTCATACTCTACAATAAGTGAGTTGCTAAAGGTCGCCCTTAAAATTGCTAAAGATCGCCCTAAAAAGAATTAAAGTTACACTTTTAATCCCCTTAGCTTCTTTATCTTCCCTTCCTCAAACAAACATCACTTGGACTAAAAAAACACTATCTAAGGAGAGAAAAATCCATCATCGTCATTTTGAAGCCGATATCGTCGGTAGGACGTCTGAATCATGAGTAGCGACTCCGACGAGGTAAAAACATGAACTGAAAAAAACCCAGAGAAAATGGGAACTGCGGGTCACTTGCGGTTCGACCATGGTTCAACTGCAAGTGACCTGCGGTTGGACCATGGCTGGACCGCAACTGAGCTGCGGTTCAGCCATGGTCCAACCGCAGGTCACTTGCGGTCCAGCCATGGTCCGATCGCAGGTCACTTGCGGTTCAGCCATGGTTCAACCGCAGGCCACTTGCGGTTGGGCATTTTTTGGGTTTTTTTTTTCCGTTGAATAATTTTCTATTTTTTATATGATTTATGATTTGTTCCATGAAATAATTTGTTGGGTTTTGATTTATATAATTTTCTAGATTTATTTCCATAATTATTTTTGGAATTGAAGGATTTAGCATTAGAAATTAAGATTAGATTTGGCCTTAAATTAAGATTAGATTTAATTTGGTCTTAATCTAGAAAATTAAGATTAGATTTTGCATTACAAATTAAGATTAAATTTATTTCATAAATAATAGATTCGCATATGAAGTTATGATGATTATTAAATTTAATATAGTTATGAAATTTTAAATTTATCATATGGTACTCGTTAAATTGACGATATAGAATGTTAAGTTTTTTTTTAATTTGCGGGGTATCACTTATAAATTCTGATAACATTGCAGGATATTGGAAGTTACAATCCGGATGGCCGTGATTACACCTCGGATTTCATTGATGGCGTGAAATACACTACGGAGTAGTTGCAAGCATATGAAGCAGCTACTGAAATTGCCAAGGGTTTTGGGTTTTATTTGGTGAGGGCATCGAACAAAAAAAATAAGAATGAAGGTACTTGGCGACATTACTTACATTGCACACATGGTAGGAAGAAGAAGTCGAAGGAACCTAATCCGAGTAAGGAAAGGAGGCCTCTTACATCTACTGAAAAGTTGGGGGTGCGAGTTTTAGATCAACCTTGAGCGGTCCGGTGATGGATATTGGTTGATCCTAGGGGTGGTAAAAATACAAAGAATCCTGGTGCTAATTTGGGTTTCCACAATCATCAGTTGGAGCTATTTCCAGATGGATCAAAGGGAAGGAATGTTTTGACTACAGAGGATAAGCAATACATCAGAGAGCTGAGATCAGCCGGTGTCCCACCAAGGAATATCCACAAGGCAGTGAATGACAGAAAAGGTGCAAATGGAACACACAACAGAAAGCAGATTTATAACGAGTGTCACAAGATAAGGAAAGAAGAGCTTGGTCAGATGACAGCCTTACAGTATACTTTCCGCATGGCGCAGGAGAAGGGTTACTATGTGCAGTATATGGATGATCTTAACGTGCTTACACACTTGTTCCTAGCCCACCCCGAGTCAATAGTGATGTTGCGAGCTTGGCACCATGTGATCGTGATAGATGCAACATACAAGACCAATAAGTATGATATGCCTTGGGTTGAGATTGTCGGCATGACACCAGTGGGATTGAACTTTGTCATTGCATCTGCAATAGTGTACGACGAGACGAAGGAGTCGTACCAGTGGCTTCTGACCGATGGTCAAACCGCACGTTGACCGCGGTTGACCGTCGGTTCAACCGCGCGTTGACCGCGGTCGACCGTTGATGACTCGATATTTGCACATGTTTTCCCCTTTGTTTCTTGATCGTTTGAGCTTTAATTATCGCGGCTTTGGCCTATTTTACGCTAGGTTGTGTTCCTTTGTCACATTTCAGGTCCTAGCACATAAAGTGAAGCATAGGCGCAAGTTTCAAGTCAATCAGAGATCTATTGGCGATTAGGGAGAAGAAACTCGGGCATGACCTGAAGAAGAAGGATTTCTACCTCACTTTATGGACAAATAATCAGGCAAGCTTGTTATGAAAAGAAAGAGGACAAGACTACGAGCATCTGGGTTCAAACGGCGACTGATTTGGAGTCCGGACGAGGGAGAAACGAAGCTTTGAACAGGAGCGGAGGAAGAATTACGGACAGGAGAATTACGACCGTATTTTCCCCTCCCATGCCCGTATTTTCACTGCCGAGAGGAGCTTTGGGTGCGCTAAAACTTAACCAAAATGTGTGTTTTGGGCAAAATACGGGCATGGAAGAATTACGACGGTAATTCAGCCCGTAATTCGCCCATAATCGGGTTTTTGAGGCAGATTCGAGCCAAAGGAAAGGGAGAGCTGGGTTTTTGGTTCCCAAACACCCAAGGGACGAACCCTAGAGAGAGAGAGCGACTTGGGAACATTCTTGGAGCTATTTTGGAGGATTTCTTCGCCATTGGAGCTCGGGAATCAAGCTTGGAGATGGAGATTGAAGATCTAGATCAGATTTCTGCAGTCTCTCTCTTCTCTATGGAGTATCTTCCCTTCACTTAGGTTTTGAGGAACCCTAGTTCCATGTGTTAGGATCTTTCTTGTATGAAGTTTTGGATGCTATATTGTTTGATTATAATCGATTGAGGCATGATTTATTGAGTCAATTGAATCTTGATCAAATTCTCTTGATTTCTGCTTTAACCTATGATAGATAGAATCTGATTAGGTTAAGAGAGCTTTCTTGATTGATAGTGGTGAATTGGTTGTGCGAGAGTCAACCAATTCACTGCTTTGTATTGGAATTCATTCCAGTAGTGGAGATCTGTGTGAAGAGGTGAGTTGAGGGGAGTTGCAGAGGGGGAGGGGGAATGAATTTGAATTTGCAATAAGGGCTTGTTTGTTTTGAGTTTTTGCTTAAGGGCATATAGGTAATTTTACATTTTAGTTAGGGCGACGTTTAGCAATTCTTAGGGCGACATTTAGCGATTCAGTACAATAAAGGGGGAAAGGATAAGAAAGTAAAATAAAGGATTGGAATTGGAAAAGTTGTTAAAATTCATAAAAGTGGCAAACAATCAACCAAGCGGGCAGCCACAGGGCTTAGTTAGTTATACTGTACTCCGCTTTATCTGACTCTTCCCATGTGATGTGAGTATCAGTCACTGCCCCACCAGTCCATACTCGTCACACTCGTCTTGTTGTTTCTCTTGGAACTCACGGTTCGTTTACTTCGTGAATTTGAAAAACCAAGCTTTTGGTAAATTTTGGATTTTGTAAAATTATGGATATATAAGGTTTTTTAGTTCATTATATACTTGAAACATATCATTGTTTGTTTCATAGATTTCATGATAGAATTGGTTTATTAGATTTGTATGAAGTAAAATTTACATGTATTGGCCTCATTGTTACTTATGAGAAGAGAAATGAAATATGAGGGATAGTTTGGTATTAAATGATGGACTTAAAAGTCCATGATCAATTCCCACCTAAAGAGGTGGAACTTTCAAGTCCGTGTGGGGTTCACGGATTTGGACCCTTAAAGTTTGTGAGACCCACAGATTTGTTGCCCCTAAATACATGAGGCAAACAATGATTTTTGGACAAAGTCCATGATAAATCCAAATCCATCATCAAATCCATTAAACAAACAACTCCAGAGAAGAAAGCGAAGAAGGGAAGAGATGAGTGATGATAAGTTATTGATGCAAGAAATTGGGACGATGTTTGTTGAAAAGTCATAGACATGTTGCTCTACTATTCTACTACAGCTAATCAAGTCAAGTATAACTCGATATGTGAAGTAGTATACTGTTATAAACACGCTCCTACTGATCGGGAAATCGTCGGAATCGATAAAGCAAGAATATGAAAGCGGGAATCGAAAAACACAGACATACGATTTACGTGGTTCACTAACACGATGTGCGTTAGCTTGTCCACGGACGAGAGAGAGCCAGTTTCACTATATCAAGGAGATTACAGATTATTAGATTATCAATTACACAAAAAAATCATTTCAACCTAACCACATTGCTAATTTATAATCGATTAATGGTATAACATGGACTAAATAAATATCACCACTAATTAGAAATTCAGATTAGTATTTAGTAATTTCCTCTTTCTCCATCTACTCATTTACCGGAAAAAATCCCACTGTACACATGTTTTGAAAAAACTTCTCAAAATACACACGTTATGAAAATATTTCCCAATCTACGCATGTTTGGGCCTTCACCGCGTCAGACTAAGGCGGTGATTGCTTCACCGCGTTAGAGAAACACGGTGATTGCATCACCGCGTTAAATGAAAACGGTGATTGCATCACCGCTGTAGAGGAAGGCGGTGATTGCATCACCGTGTTAGAGGAAAACGGTGAAGGCCTGACCTGCGTCAAATCTTTAAAAAAACGTAACTTTGTGCTCGGTTATCCGATCGTGGTGAAATTTTTTTTGATTCCTCATAATTTTTCGAGATCGTGCAAGCCGCAAAGCGGTTTGGTCCCGCCTTTGTCCCGAAAAAACGTCGTTTGCTACCCCGAACGAGCCTTTTTTCGATTTCGTCAAAATTTGAACGACCATAACTTTGTGCTCCACAATCCGAAAAATCATGAATTGTTTTTTGATTTTGCATAACTTTTTGAGGACTACAATTTTTAGTAGGAGAGAATTTTCAAAAAATGAATTATTTTGGATATACGGGGCTTTGGGAATAAGTTTACCTTCCCTTTTCAGGAATCCAAGTACATTCCGAAATTATGTCTATGATAAAAATTGTAGTCCTCAAAAAGTTATGCAAAATCAAAAAAAATTCATGATTTTCGGATTGTGGAGCACAAAGTTATGGTCGTTCAAAGTTTGACGAAATCGAAAAAAGGCTCGTTCGGGGTAGCAAACGACGTTTTTTCGGGACGAAGGCGGGACCAAACCGCCGGCGGTTTGCGGCTTTCAAGATCTCGAAAAATTATGCGGAATCAAAAAAAATTTCACCACGATCGGATAACCGAGCACAAAGTTACGTTCTTTTAAAGATTCGACGCAGGTCAGGCCTTCACCGCGGCCGTTGAATGCGTTGAAGCTATCACCGTTTTTGTCTACAGCGGTGATGCAATCACCGTTTTTCTCTAACGCGGTGATGCAATCACCGCTCTTGTTTAACGCGGTGATGCCTTCACCGCCTTAGTCTGACGCGGTGAAGGCCCAAACATGTGTAGATTGGGAATTTTTTTCATAACAAGTGTATTTTGAGAATTTTTTTTTAAAAACATGTGTACAGTCGGATTTTTTCCCTCATTTACCCGCCCTTGTATCGTTTTATATTTTTAAATTTAAATTTTTTGATCCGGCTTCGATTCCCGTGAAAGTAATTCCATTCCGTTCCCAAACATTCCCCTCCCTCCGCCCCTCATCATTCTCCCTCTTGCCCGCCTGTCCCCCTCCCGCAGAATTTGAAATTATTTTGTGATTAATAATCGCATTAAGAAAGTTAATCCATTGTTAACCCCTCCCGCCCTCATTAACGGTTCCACGTGTCTCCTTATCCTCCCTTCCACGTCACACTTCCCTGTCCTCTTCCCCCCTCTCTCTAAGGTCTAATCCTTCCCACCTTTTCCCCTTTCTCTCTCCAGACTCTTTTCTGCAGTAGCGAAAGTAAACAAAAGCTTCATCTCTCTCTCGCTCCCTATTTCTAGGGTTCCCTTTCCCTCTTTACAATTTCCCCCTCCCACCACTGCGCACCACCACCACCACAATTCTGGTCTCACTTGACGGCAATCGGGGCCTTTTCCATTTCCGATGGGGTCGATTCCTGATCCAGGCGAGGTCACCGCCGACCTAACTCCTCCGCCGCCGAGCTTTGACGACTTCCAGCGGCAGACTTCTCTCATGACCAGCTGCACTCTCCTCTGGAAGGAGCTCTCCGACCATTTCACTACTCTCGAGCAAAACCTCCAGAAGACGTCTGATGCCCTGAAGCGCAAAATCCAGGCCCTCGACACCGAGACCAAGGACTCCCTGGCTTCTCTCAAGAAGCGGGAGGTCACAATCGACGGCAGCGTCGAGATCGCCCTCGAGCGACTCGACGACCGCTGCGAGGCTGCTCTCAGGTCAATTGACTCCGATCTCGGCGAGGTCGACGACGGCGACGGGCTTCTCCTTGCTTTGAAGACGTTCTGCTTGAAGATGAGCTCCAGGGAGTTCTGGAGGTTCGTGATCACCAAGAAGAAGGAGCTGGACGCGTTGAGGAGCCAGATTCCGTTGGCTCTGGGTGAGTGCGTGGATCCTCCTAGGTTTGTGTTGGAGGCAATTTCGTAGGTTTTCCCCGTGGATAGAAGAGGGGAGAGGAGCGAGAAAGGGAATGATTTGGGATGGGCTTGTGTTGTGATTCTCGAGAGCTTGATTCCGGTGGTCATGGACCCTGTGATTGGGAAGTCGAGACTGATGGTTACACCGATGGTGAAGAAGAGGGCTAGCGAGATTGCGGAGACGTGGAAGAGGAGCTTGGAGGAGCGCGGCGGGATTGAGAATGTTAAGACGCCCGATGTTCATACTTTCTTGCAGCATTTGGTCACTTTTGGGATTGTGAGGAAGGAGGACTTTGATTTGTACAGGAAGCTTGTGGTTGGGTCCGCTTGGCGCAAGCAGATGCCAAAGCTTGCTGTCTCTCTTGGCTTGGGTGGTGAAATGCCTGGTATTATTTTCTTTCCAGCTTTAATTGCCATTTCTATACTTGCTTTCTTAAGCTCTGTGATGGTCAGTTCCTTAATGAACTGAGTGTTAATCCATCTGTTGGGAAGTTTTCACTTGGATTCCATCGGCTGCTCTGTTGTTGTTACCTGTTGTTGCTGAAAATGTGAGACAGGCTCGTCGTTGATGCTGTTTACCCAAGCCATAATCTGATGATGGCCCTTGAATTTGGGAATTGTGTTTCTTATTGGCACAGGGTAGGATTATTGCTTTTTGATTTCTAGGTTTAAGTGTTCATGTGAGCAGAATGTGGTGAAAGTATGCCCTGTTTCTGACTGATACAGAAAGCTTTGGTTCTTGGAGTTGATCCATGGATATGCAACTTCTTTGTGTGATTCACTCCAGTGAATGGTTCTTGGGATGATTGTTAAAATGTGGTAGCGTTCATTGTTTGCGTCTTCTGGATTGTATTGAGCTGCTCTTTTCGATTGCAGATATGATCAAAGAACTTATTGGTAGGGGTCAGCGACTCGATGCAGTGCATTTTACTTACGAGGTCGGCCTGGTTGACAAGTTCCCCCTGCACCCTTGTTGAAGGCCTTTTTAAGGGATGCAAAGAAGGCTGCAGCTTCTATAATGGAGGATCCTGATAATCCTGGAAGGGCTACGGTATTTCCCGATACTTGAATCCTCTTCTAGTTGTTGGTTCTTCTGTCCTCTCCTTTGACTACATTGGGTTTCAGTGATGATTGAAGTCTGAAATCAGTGTACCAACCAGCCAGCATAGCAGATTAGCAGCAATATGTTAATCCACTTTCAATGCCTCAACTACAAACTCTTTTTGAAGTTTGATTAGTTTAAAAGAGTTTGTAGTTGAGTCATTGAAAGTGGATTAACATATTGCTGCTAATCTGCTATACTCTGGTGCAATTTGGAGAAGCTTCAAGTACAATACATTTCTTAAATGGTGAAGCATGCATGCTTTGGTTATAGTACTGCTTTGCCCTCTTTTATCTTTTGTCATGTGATGAGCAGCTGGAACCAACACCACTTTACATAACGTGCTTGGCTAGTGTGACCTGTAAATAACACTGCTAGAACTAATTTCTTCCAACCTGGTGTTAGAAGTTCTGTTCCCTGAAGTTGTTTATTCTTTTGTGTTATTGTTGAATTTTTTTTTAATCTTATAACTCCATTGGATATTCCCTCTACTGTCTTCTTTTTCACGTCTGCTTCCTCATGGTTCAAGTTTTTCAGTATTTCATGAACAGTTAGTTGGGTTAATTATTAATCATCTGCTAATATCATTGATTTCTGACTCCTTTGTATAACTTATTTTGCAGCAACTTGCTGTGAGGAAAGAACAGTCAGCACTCCGTGCTGTCATCAAGTGCATCGAGGAATACAATCTAGAAGCCGAGTTCCCACCAGAGAACCTCAAGAAAAGCCTGGAACAGCTGAAGAAGGTGAAGACAGAGAAGAAGAAGCCAGTTCCAGCTGCCATCCCTGCCAACAAGAGAACTCGTGCTAGCACCGCCGGTCCGATGCCACCAGCCAAGGCCGGGCGTCTGACCAATGCCTACGTATCATCTTTCTCCTCGTAGCCACCAACATTTGTTAGGTCGCCTTCTCACTACCCGCAGTACCCAGCTGCTGGCATCCCAGCATACGCATCTCCGCCGCCACCACCAACCGTCTATGGCACTCCGAGCCCACAATCCCCGTACGCTGCGTATTCCCCTGAAGCAGTCCACCACCCGATTCCCGGATCATATACATTGAATTATGCGCCACCACTGGCAGCATATGGAGGATACCCGAGTGGGTTCGCTCCAGCTTATCATCAGCAGGCTTACTACTGAATAGACATCATCATCATGACTAGGTCTGTCATTGAAGAAGATAGTAACCCACTGATAATATGATGACTACTTCCACTCTCCAGCACTGCCCGTTCTGCAATCCCGCTTATTTCCTTCTTTTCTTTCGGTCCTTTCTTCTTCCTGCTAAACCTGGATGGTTTGTGTGTAATAGCTAACTGTTTTAGTCTTAGCTATCAGCCCCTCCCTTCCCCTGGTGTGTGTTTTAATACAAATGTCGCCTCTGGTGCACTTCTTACTTTTCTCCCATGGCGACAAGCTATATTTCTAATGAAACTCTAGCTTTAGGTTTATTGTGCATAGTAATCTTCCACCTTCTTAATTCTGCATCCATCTCTTCATCTCTCTGTTTTCTCATGTCTGCTGGGACTCCATTGGGAGGCAAAAGTGAATGTAATGTAAAGTCTGCAACAGAGAAAGCATGTGGCTAGGGCTGGCTGGCCGGCTGGTTGGCAGCTTTAGCATGGTGGTTAATGCCCTTTTTCCAGGAAAAAAAAAGCACTGATTGTTTCTTTGACGGAGTTGCTTCAAGTTAAAGATAAGATCTTTTGTCTGTGGGAGACATGTTTTCCCAGATCTCTGTTTCTCGACCGCCCAGTAGATTCCAAGGATTTGATGAATAATTGAATCATGCTCGTCTCGTCACGGTCAAGGTATGTGCCATCATGGATTGGGAGTTGAGACCATGCCCCAATCCCACGCACCCACTACTGTGGGTTGAGCCTACCTTTCCTGATGTCCATGGACTCTCGACAACGGGCCCATATCGTGTTAATCCTTAACATCTTAAGTTATAATAGGCCGGGATCTCTGGGCTATCTTTTAGTTTAACCCACAGGCCACAAGGGCGAGCTAAAGCGTGGAAATTGGAATCGCGGTCAGAGGGGTTGGAAGATTGCACGCCAAGTGTTCGATCATTTGCCTGAGAGAAAGTAGTTGCATTCCCGCTTTGCTCTAACCATGGCGACGTTCTCATTGAGACGAGGTAGCTGCTTGCTATCACGAGCTTGCTTCCGCTACCTATCGGGAGCGTGTAATTTCTGCTCCAAGGCTTCCGCGATTGGCAACGTCATAGATGGCTAGACCAGAGAAGTGCCGGCTGAGAGACGTCCTTCGACCCGGTCGAGCAGCAGCAGCGTTCATCTTTCTCCTTTGTTCAGAGATCCTACCTCACACTTGGATCGCTATGACATCGAGCTCGTGGACAATGATGCTTGGCAGGTAACATCCGGGGATAGCCCATGCGTTTGGTGGATTGGGTAAGAAATCGGAACCACAAACTGTAAGTGAAGCAGCTCATCACCTCGTTAATGGGCACTCCTCCATTTCTTCTCTGGATGACCTCGATTTTGATGAGATTGATAACATGAGAATCCGGGGAAATCTGTTCTACAAGCTTGATCGGGACTCGAAAGAGTATTAGGAGTATAGCTTTGATTTCCACCGGAGGAAGAAGAAAGGCGATGAAGCTAGAGACAGCGGAAAGAAGGAATCTTCAACGAAGAATGAACAACCCAAGGAAAGCAAAAAGAACGAAGATTCGTCCCTTGTGGAAGCCAAAAGAACAACCTTGATTGTTAAGAACGGCAAGGCCTATACTTTGATGGACTGTGGCTCTGATGTCCCTAACAGTGTGGCGGAGAAGAAGAAGAAGGTTCAGACTCTGACATTCAATCAGCTCACAGCTCCATACCACGAGCCATTCTGTCTCGACATTCAGATATCAAACGCATCGGCTCGTGCATCCGTCATTCACCGAGGTACAAGTAAAGTAGTGGCTGTGGCACATTCGATATCCAAGGACATCAAATTCGACATGGGTTCTACAAGAAATGAAGCCACTTGTCGTGCTGTTGGGCAGATTCTGGCGCAGAGGGCACTGGAAGACGATATCCACAACGTGGTTTACACTCCAAGAAGCGGGGAGAGACTGGAAGGGAAGCTTCAAATTGTGCTTCAGTCCATTATTGACAGTGGTCTTTCTGTGAAAGTAAAGCTCAAGCAGAGGAAACACAAGAAGAAGCTTAGCCTCCCACAATATTCCTCCTAGGAAAGCCTCATAGCATCCGCACATTGTGTAAAGGTTACCACTTTATTCCTTATTTGTGCCTATGAAGAATCTTTGTTAGAAAAAGTTCTTCCTCAATGAAAGTTCTGTTTTGGATGTTACACAGAAGAGATTTACACTGGACCACCATCTCCAACTTCAAATTACTCCACAGTCATTAGCCGTTGCAAAAGCTGCATTGCGAGCAAATCTTCTTCGGGAATGGTTCTAATGTGGCAATCCGAAGTCGGGTATGCGGCACAGAGCAGTGCGTAGCCGCGCTCCACCACGTCGTCACTGAGCATGCCATCACTCTGATCGACCGAGCCGCTCGCTCACCACCTTAGCGGGGCAAGTCATGCACACTCCAAGCTTGCAGTCATGGGGTACAGTACAGCAAACCCGGAGTCCAGTGCCTTGGACAGTATGGTCTCGTCTGGATCGACTTGGAGCTCCGTGGACTTGCCCTGATGTTCAATCACCACTTTGTATGGGCGAACCACGTTGGAATGGTCTTCCAGTTCTGTAGTTGAGTCTAGAGGAAGGGAAGTTGATGCTGTGGTTTTGTTTGGTGGTAGGGATGAAAGGTGATGGAGCGAAATGGAGGCTGTGAGTTGCCATGGCCGATGTGGGAAATGGAATACGGAAAAGAGTTTTTTTCTTTTGGGGTGGTGCAGATTTTGATAAAAGAGATGAGGCTTCTTCACATCTTCTGCCTCTCGAGTCTAGAAGTCTAGACTGAAGTTTGCCATTCCTAATTCTGAGGATGGAAATGGTTAATACTTAATAGCTTAATTAAATGTTACGTCACCAGATCCGAAACCACGATTTCATTTATTACCCACGACACGAGTAAGTTGGGCTGAAAGTCCATTCCGCTCTCTGGACCTGGGACGTATTGGGCTTCAGTTGAAAAAAATCAATCTAGTCCAGTCCAAGGAAAACGGTGGAGTAGTATCGTGAGAAGGTCTTCGATCAAAGACTCTCTCCATTGCAGGCAGCTTCGTCTTGGCAAGAACAGCTCTGAGAAACAACTGAACTGAGGGTTCGTCAAGGAAAAGTCAAGAAATCAAGAGAAGGAGAAGGAGAAGGAGAAGGAGCAGTAGGAATTGGTGTCGTGTCTCGCACTCAGCATCTTACCCTTCTGTACGATTTGCTCTATCAAGTTTGATTCCCAAATTGCTTGTTCTTTTTCTATTCCAATCCCAACGCCGCCTGCGACCTCAATCTTAAACTTCAGGTGAGCTTTCCTTGTTCTTCCTTTTTACGATGGGGCTGGTATGGTTTCCGGGAGTGGAGATGAGTATGGTTGTTATCTTTAGTACACAGTTAGCTGGATGAATCGTCATAGCAGTTTTTACTTTGAAGGGGCTAGGTTAGGGATGCCCTCGCTAAGGGCCGTAGTCAGCTGATGTCTTAATAGATCCTCGTCAGTGATCGTTTTCTTCTCTTCATTCCTCAGTATAGGGTAGGGTAGGGTATAGATAGTGACTTGGATTGAAGTTGTGGAGTTATTCCCCTGGAAGATCTATGTGGAATTTTTTGCCTGTAGTTAGTTGTGGGGTTTCAGCGCAGCTAATTGCTTCTTGTGGGCACTGACTAGGCAGGAATTGCCTTTGGCTTGTCAGGTTTCTGAAGTAGTGCAGGGCTATGGCTGGGTTTTTTTTGTCGTTTGAATGGCTGGCAGTTCAGGGCAGAAATGAGAGACGACGGTAGTTCAATGTTAATGGGAGATAAGTCCTAGAAACCCTGGTGCCAACTTCTGTTGGCCATTTGATGCTGCTAATGGGAGATAAGTCCTAGAAGAAGGCTATCCTGACTCCTTACTACATTTGTCAGTTCGCATGATTTGATAGCGTCCCTGAATCAAATGAAAAACACTTACCAATGTGGTTCAATCCCACTGACATCTTTTGTGTGCCAAGCAATTCCTGGGATTCGGTCTCTCATAGTTTTGCTAATTGCGGTCATGATGATGGATGTTGTGTTTTTAGGATATACAGGGAATGTTTTTCCTAGATTTTATATTACACCTGGTTCTTTGTTTGTAGCTATGATTGTGATGCTCCAGTGATTGTTTTTGCAAGCATTTTTTATAAATGCAACTTATGGAGATTGAATCAGGTGAGAAAATGCTGATCTTTTGATTAATCTTGCTCTTTCATTCACAGAGAAATGGCTGGAAGATCCGAAATGCAAGGGAGAGAGCCGGTAAACGAGCAGATGGTAGCAAACATGTACACATCCATGAGAACTGAGCTAAACCAGATATACTCCAAAATCACTGAACTGGAGATGGAAGTGAGCGAGCACTCATTGGTCATTAATGCCATCCAACCCCTCGACCCTACCAGGCGCTGCTACCGCATGATCGGAGGGGTGCTCGTAGAGAGGAACATCAAGGAGGTCCTGCCAGCAGTGCAGCGTAACAAAGAAGGGATCGAGGAAGTTGTTGCCAGGCTGAACGAAGCCCTGGAAAAGAAGAAGAAGGAGATCGCCGACTTTGAAGCTAAATACAAGATCAGGATGAGGAAAGCTGATAGTGACATGAAGGATGAAGAAGGTAGCAAGAAGGAAGGCGGCTCTCAGGGCGTCCTCGTGGGCCCTGCAGGCTCAGCGGACTGAATCATTCAGACGCAAGTTCCATCCTTGTTTTCGTGATCGCCTGTTCGCATCGCCATGCTGCACACCATCTTAGATCGAATAACTCAGTTTCAGTTGTCAATCACTTTCGTCCATTTTCACGATCCAAATTTGTTTGAGGTATTGTCTGAGGGAATTTCTAAAGCCCGTCTGCGTTTATTACTAGTGAGACACTGCAAGTTCGATTCCGATACAGGAAGGAGATGGAGTAAGGAAAGGAAATGCGAGCTATCGCCATTTTTCGGTAGAGCTCAACGCCTCAGACTGAATGAATATAAACAGGATTCCGAATTTCAGGGTTCGTATGATAACTTGATCAAGCAGAAAAGTAATAATACAATCGACACTCCTGAGGCTGTGGGAAAAGTAGAGAATAACAATCGTGGTTTCCTCTTCTTAGCTGAAGAAATCCTGAACGCCTCTACCGGCGAACACCTTATCGGAGAGCTCGGCCAGCAAGGCATTGACGGTGAGCAAAGCGACGCTGGAGCCAGCAATGACGCCCAGCACCACGCCGGTGGTTCCCAAAACTTTACCGAAGGACGGCCACTCTATCTCTCGAATCTCCTCCGCCACTCCGCTCCACAGATCCCCGCCGCCACCGGCGCTGCCTTCCGCTTTCTTCCTCTCCATCATCGCCTGCCTTATCTCTTCTCCCAAATCGCTCTGCTCCTCTTTCTCGGTCGGCGTTGCCGCCGCCCTGAAGTCATTCAATTGCTCCGATTCCGTTTGCTCCTCCTGGCTCTCTTCGACTGCTCTCGTTACAGTTCGCAGTTTCAGAAGCCGGGAGCTGAAGGAGGTAGCGATATGGATGGTTAGGGATTTGAATCGGAGAGGAAGGGAGGGGGGATGAAGATTGGAGGGAGATGGATAAAGAGGTGGATTCAGGGGAAGATTGGAGAGCGCCATTTCTGCGTTGGGCGAACTCCCAGCTGAATGACAGTGGCGGATAAGAGAATGAGAGCCGATAGATTTCGTGGGCTAGCTGGGCTCATTGGTCTTTGTTGGGTGGGCCTCAATGACCTCGGCCCATTTCGTAATTAGATTTGATTTGAACTGCCAGTTTTGGACTATGGTCTTGTGCTGAGCCAATATATAGGTGATAGACCGTCATTTACACATGTTTTTACCCTCATACTTACACCGTTTGAGGTGTTGATTCTCGTGTTTTAGGCCGATTTCACGCTAGGTTGTGCTTGGTTGTGTTATTTCAGGTCTTAGTACGTGAATGAAGGCTTAGGAGCGAGTCTGGGGTCGATTGGACGAAGAACGGACGAAGGGCGAGCTTTTGGAGGAGTGCACGGGCAGACCAGGAGGCTGCACGGCCGTGCACATGAGCCATTTGGCCGTGCGCCTCTGGCCGAGGCCATGCACGGGCACAATCCAGGCTTGCACGGCCGTGCGCCTGGCCGTGCAAGAAGGCTGAGCTCCAAATAAATGAAACGGTGCGTTTTGAGGGTGCACGGCCAGAATGGTGTGGTGCACGCCCGTGCACCTGCCCGTGCAACTCGGGGAGACCGGTTTTAGTGCCTAATCCGAGCCAAAAGTGGGAGAATCGCGTTTTGAGAGCAAAAACAGAGCCCTAGAGAGAGAAAGTGCGAAGAACTCATCCTAGAAGCCGTCTAAGAGCTGGATTTCATCGAATCGAGCCTGGAGATCGTCATAGGAGTGAAAATCATCGTCCCGGAGCAGATTATCCTCATCGTTATGAGTATGACTAATCCGATTCTTGTTTTCTCTTCTCTCTCTATGGAGTAGAACCCTTCTCTCACTTGGGTATGAAGAACCCTAGTTCCTGATGTTAGGGATTTGATTGTAATGACTTGGGATGATATTATTGTTTGATTTTAATCGAATGACGCATGTTTCATGAATTGATTTGAGTCTGATCAGCTTTTCTCAATTTCTGCTTCAACCTGAGATAGATAGAATCTGATTAGGTTGTTAGAGCCTCTTCATTCGATAGTAGGAGATTGGCTATACGAGAGTTAGCCAGTGGACTACTTTGTACTGGTGTTCTTGACGCCAGTAGTGGAGTTCTGTGTTCATAGCCTCAGCTTTCTATCCCGGTGAAGACTAGTCGTCTGCCGGGTAGTTAGACTGAGAGGGCTTGGTCAGCTTAAGAGATTCCAAGCTACTGTCGGATCTTCCGCAGTCTAATCAACAGTAAATCAACCCAGGAAATTGCAATTGAACCTAACTAAGGGGCTAGGGGGACTCAATCCCGAGTGACTCTTACCTGCTTTAGAAACCCGAACAATTTACTGCTTTCTTGTTGCTTTTACTTTTCACAACAATCACTCGACTTAGTTTGCTAGATAATAGAGAATCACGGAGTAAGCAGTAGATCTAGACCCCGGGTTGATAATTAAACTTGCCTGTTACTGCATTCCCGGACTGCGATTACACTTGGTCGCAGTTTGGTGTTGTGCTAGGTGGGAGCCCCCGTTTTCTACAAAAACAGGTTGGAACCCTTGAAAAAAAAAGAGAAAAACAGAAAAACAAGAAAAAAGAAGAAAGAAAAGGGGGTTCCAACCATCTCCAAAAAGAAAATCGAGCACCTTAAAAAATGTGAGTCCATGATCTTTTGTTTTTGAGAGTCTCTTCATCCACGATTCATTTGTCCTCTGTTCACTATTTGCCATGATGCCGACTCGAGACTAGCGTTCTCGCCGAAGAGGCTATGAGATGACTTGTGCGTCGGTTGACCTCGTAAGCTGCTAAATGATCTAGGAAGTCCGCTACCTACGATCGAGGTTGTTTGTTGCTATAGAGCTCTGGAGAGTTGCATTGGTTTGAGTTAGGTTTGCTTGGGGACAAGCAAACAGTTAAGTGTGGGTGGATTTGATGACTCGGTATTTGCACATGTTTTCCCCTTTGTTTCTTGATTGTTTGAGCTTGAATTACCGTGTCTTTGGCCTATTTTATGCTAGGTTGTGTTCCTTTGTCACATTTCAGGTCCTAGCACATAAAGTGAAGCATAGGCGCAAGTTTCAAGTCAATCAGAGATCAATTGGCGATTCGGGAGCAGAAACTCGGGCATGACCTGAAGAAGAATTGATTTCTACCTCACTTTATGGACAGAGAATCATGCAAGCTTGTTATGAAACGAAAGAGGACGAGACTACGAGCGTCTGGGATCAAACGGCGACTGATTCGGAGTCCGGACGAGGGAGAAACGAAGCATTAAACAGAGGCTGAGCAAGCTGCACGGGCAGACCAGGGAGGCGCACGGCCGTGCAACATATAAGTCTGGCCGTGCGCTCTCTGCCGAGGCCTTGCACGGGCAAAATCCAGCCTTGCACGGCCGTGCACCTGGCCGTGCAAGATGGCTGAGATCGATTAAGTGAAACGGTGCGTTTTGAGGGTGCACGGCCAGAATGGTGTTGTGCACGGCCGTGCACCTGGCCGTGCAACTCGGGGAAGCCTGTTTTTAAGCCTAATCCGAGCCAAAAGGGAAGAGAGCGGGGTTTTGGATCCCAAACACCCAAGGGACGAACCCTAGAGAGAGAGAGTGACTTGGGAACATTCTTGGAGCTATTTTGGAGGATTTCTTCGCCATTGGAGCTCGGGAATCAAGCTTGGAGATGGAGATTGAAGATCTAGATCAGATTTCTGCAGTCTCTCTCTTCTCTATGAAGTAACTTCCCTTCACTTAGGTTTTGAGGAACCCTAGTTCCATGTGTTAGGATCTTTCTTGTATGAAGTTTTGGATGCTATATTGTTTGATTATAATCGATTGAGGCATGATTTATTGAGTCAATTGGATCTTGATCAAATTCTCTTGATTTCTGCTTTAACCTATGATAGATAGAATCTGATTAGGTTAAGAGAGCTTCCTTGATTGATAGTAGTGAATTGGTTGTGCGAGAGTCAATCAATTCACTGCTTTGTACTGGAACTCATTCCAGTAGTGGAGATCTGTGTGAATCGCCTTAGCAGTCTATCCCGGTGAAGGCTAGTCACCTGCCGGGTATTCTGTCTGAGAGGGCTTGGTCAGCTTAAGAGATTCCAAGCTAATTTAGGATCTTCCGCAGTTTAATCAACAGTAGATCAACCAAAGGTAATTGCAACTTGGACCTAATTGAGGAGCTAGGGGGAATCATACCTAAGTGAGTTCCCAACTTGTAATTAGTAGAGTAGTTAGTAGAGTAGTTTAGTAAATCAATCCTTAATCTAGTTTGCTAGATAATGAACTGAAGCTGAGTAATAGTAACTCTAGAGACCCGTGGATTCGATATTTATTACTTGTGCCACTATAGTGCAGTCCCTTTCATTGGTTACACTTGGCCATTGTTAGGTGTTGTGTTTTAGCGAGTCAAGTTTTTGGCGCCGTTGCCGGGGACCCCTCTAGGTTATTGGGGAAACGTGATAATTTGTTACTCTAGCTTTTTCTTTATTGCATTTTTCTTTTCCACATGTGTGCCTTCACGGGTTGTTTCTGCTGACTGTGTGCAGGTAGTGCATGACCCGTAGCCAGTCGGGAGATCTACTACCGTTAGACCAGGAGCTTGAACGAACTTGCAGGAACTTCAAGCGGGCTCTAAAGGCACGACTGGCTGCGGAGGAGGAGCTACCACAGCTGCCGTTAGAAGAAGAAGAAGGCGAGATGGCTGATCCAGAGAACCGTGATATGATCCCAGAGGAGCAGACCATGGGATCCTACTGGGCCGCTAGGGCTGCGGACATGAGGTCACCTATTCAACACCCTCAGGTCCCAGCCAACAACTTTGAGGTGAGCACCTCCGTGATCACCATGCTGCGCGGTTCAGTAGTGTTCCGTGGTAAGGAGGGAGAGTGCCCTCGATCACATCTCAGGCGATTCCACGAGCTCATCGATGGAATCAAGATCAATGGGGTACCAGCAGATGCCATCCAGCTAAGGTATTTCCCATTCACTCTGGAGGGGCAGGCCAAGGAGTGGCTAGACACTCGACCTCCGGGCTCCATCACCACGTTCGCCAACCTGGCGGACAAGTTCCTCACCCGCTACCATCCTCCATCCAAGACTGCTGATCTCCAGAAGCAGATTACACACTTTTCTCAGGATGAGGATGAGACCATCAGGGATGCATGGGAGAGGTACAACAGTCTTTTCCTCAGGTGTCCCAATCATGGTTTCAACGATGCGTTCAAGGTGGGCACCTTCTATCACGCCCTCTTCCCGGAGGACAAGCAGCTGATCGATTCGGTTTGTGGCGGGAACATGCTGACCAAAACCCCGCCACAGCTGAATCAACTCTTTGAAGAGATGGCGGAGAATGGTTATGATTGGGGCACTGCCAGGAGATCGAGGAGAGCACCTGGCCGGGGGGTGCATGCTGTGGGCACCCAGTCATCTGATTTGGTGCAGGTAGTAACGAAGCTGGTCTCAGCTATCGATCGTTCCGGGATGATTCCAGGGACCGGACAGCAGCAGGCGATGCTCTGCCAGTGGTGCGAGAGCACCCATCATATGGTGGAAGACTGCCAGGCGATGAAGGAATCGACCACACCCCAGGAGCAGGTGAACTTCATCAACAATGTCAGGCGCAATGACCCCTACAGCAACACGTACAATGAGGGGTGGCGCCAGCATCCTAATTTCTCCTGGGCTGGGCCAAATCCCAGACCACCAGCTCCATAGGGACCACCGGGCTTCCAGAGGCCACCGTATCAGCCCAGACAGGGGCAATTCCAGCAGCAACAACAGTCTCTCTATCAGCCCATGCAGGGGCATGCTGCTCAAACACAGCCGCGCCCTTATCAGCAGCCAGGTGCAGCCCTTGCTGCCCCCGTGGAGAATGATCAGATGGCTGACCTGCGGGACTTGGTGGGTTCTCTAGCCAGTACCAGTGCTCAGAAGTTCAACACCTTTGAGCAGTTCATGGAGAAGGCCTCGGGGAAACTTCTGGCTCTTGAAGCTGGTCAGAGGAATACACAGGCTGTTTTGCA